AAGCGCAGCGGCGCTCCCGCCCGAGGGTTCGGATCCCACATACAGACCGGTTCCCGCTCACTGGCTGAGCGAGGCGCGGGAGCAACACCGAGGGTTGCAATCCCGTTGCCGGTCCCCGGTCCGGTACGGGGGCAACACTGAGGGTTGCGATCCGTTGCCGGACACGGAAAAAAGACAAAAGACAAAAAATAAAAAAATTTTAAAAAATTTAAAAAATAAAGTATACAGTTCAATTAAATCCATTTGTTTTTAATGTGCTCTTCCTTTTCTTTTCTCGGTCCCTATAGCGAACCAAATAGGTTTATAATTCTCCCTGCAAGTATACTTTAAAAAATTTTACTCCGTATTTGCTTTCCCTTCAAATAATAAAATTTTGGAAGAGAAAGGGCTTTGGAGATCATTCTAATCCAAGCCTTGTGACCAGTAAGGAAAATGAGGCTCAGGGAATTCAAAGTTACTTGCCCAGGATCGTAAGGAATGTTAGTGGCAGAGCTGGGATCAGTTCTCAGCATTTCTTGTGTGTGTTTTTTTTCATTGCTCCAGCTGTCCATGAAACTGAGCCTGTCTGATTTTTCTTTCCATGAGCTGTTATTTTCTTCTCTTTTGAGAACATTTCAGTTCTTTTAGGGTAAGCCTTGGGTTCGTATATGCTCAGTAAGTGCTTATTGAGTAGATGTTTTCTAGATTTCACATCATTCTTGGTGTTTTTCCTCTTTCTTAGAGCAATGCATCCTCTTAAAACTTTAAAAGAATTCAGAAATCTGGCAGATTGGCAAACATTTTAAATTTGTTTTTTTTAGTTTGTTTGCACAAATATTAGTTCCGCATCAGGCCTTCTAGTCCTATCCTTGTCTCTGGGTTCTTAGAAGAAGAGGCACAGAAGCTAAATGTTACTCCAAGGTTTTACAAATCAGGTATTAGGAGATTGACCCCAAGCACTGATTGAGATACAGGATGTATAGAGGTAAAGGAGGTGGTTTTGAGACAGAGTCAGCATATGTTTTTATTAATTTCTGGGAGAGGGCTATAAGCATAACTTTTTTCTCCCCCCATCTTTTCATTTAGAAACATTCTAATTGGATCAAAGTCACACAGGTAGTAAGTGGTGGAATGAGGGTTTGAATCCAGATCGTTCTGAGTACTAAGTCCATTCTCTTTCTATTACGGTGCGATGCTTCTTGTTAAAGGAATTTATTGGAAAGGTAGACATTAAACCTTGTAATATTTACCTTCCCTTCCCGTGTTTGCTCAGTGTAGGGTTTCTTATTTTGAAGCTCAAGGATATGCTTAAAATGGTATGCTGATTTTCACATGTTTGTGTATGTAGAGGATTAAATATTTTTTTCTCACATTTTAGTTTTGGGTTGGTGTTCTGAGATGGGACTGATTGCCCTACAGTGTCCTTGGAGGAGTCAGGAGAAGGGGGTGGGGGGCAACAGGCTGAGTGTGAGTGAGTGAGTACTGACCAGCTGTCCCTACCCTTGTGCTAGCAGTTAGCTAGTGCTTTGAGGCAGAAGGGTACTAACATTTATTGAGACACACACTTTACATATATTNCACCTCGCTGAGCCAGTGAGCGGGAACCGGTCTGTATGTGGGATCCGAACCCTCGGCGGGAGCGCTGCCACGCTCCCAAGCGGCGCACTGTAGCAGTGCGCCACCGGGCCGGCCCTAAATCTCCATCTTTTAATGACCAGGTTGCGAGGATATTTCTTAACACCAATCTTCCCCCCTGCCCCCAACACAATCAGTTATCAGTAGTGATTCACCTTACTCCCTGTTCTTATGCCTAGTTGTCTGCAGTTGAGAGTGGGATTTTATTGCTTTGTTTTGGTCAGTGCATGCTTGACTTAGCAAGCACGATGTGGTTCTGAAGTATCTACCATTTAACTTTCAGCTGTGATGAACCATATTCCCATGAAATGAAATGACCTTTGCAGTACACAAAGCCAATGCTTTACTCTCCTTCAGCCTCCATCATTAAGTGCACGGCAGTGCTTCGTGATGTAATTCCTTGGCTTGTATACAGCTTTATTGCAAGAAGGAAACAGAAGTGTTGTATGCACTGAAGTGATAATGATTCAAAACCACATAGCTATTGTTCTTTGAATTTTTTTTTCTTTCATCCTTTGCTGTTGTTCACTGAATAGAACCCCTTTAAAACCAAATAAAACTAAAGAATGAAAAAAGCTGGGTTTGATTCTGTGCTGTGATCTTTACTAGCTTCAGTGGCTGTGGGTAGCTTATTTAACTCCTCTGGGCCTCAGTTTCCTCATCATGAGGATTAGAGATAATGTATGATAAGTACCCAGTATAGAACCTGGCACAGAGCAGATGTTCAATATAGGGAAGCTGCTATCATTATTATTGTAAAATGCAAAGACGATCTTATGATGTAAAAGCTTGGGATTTGTTTTGTTACGGTAGTAAATAGTGTTTCCCTGTGGACTTCTTTGTGCTGCTTATATGCAATCCAAGGAAAACAGTGGAATAGTGTTTGCAATAAGGAAAGATAGCTCTTTGTTCCCTTCAACAGACAAAAGAAGCTCATTATTGTATCAAGTAGTGACTGTTGCTATTGAAATGGTTTATTTGCATGTTTTTTTCTGTTTCTTTCCTAGGGATTTATTTGTGGCTTTTCAGTAGCAACAGGTGCAGCAGCGAGACTAGTGTCAGGATACGACAGCTATGGAAATATCTGTGGGCAGAAAAATGCAAAGTTGGAAGCAATACCAAACAGTGGCATGGACCACACCCATCGGAAGTGAGTAGATGTGCTGAATGATGAACACTATGGAAATTTTGAAGGGGGCACAGAGAAAATCCTGCTTTTCTTACTTCTTTAAAGATAATATCTTACTGAATATTATTTTTGTATGACTCCTGTTGGTGTTTTTGATTTTTTTTTTAACTGTACACTTAAATCATTCCTATTTTGGATCTACAAATACATTCTCCAGGTAACAAAATTTGCTACCGTGTCAAAATGGACTACCTCGAGGTTTTAATGGGCAAAGGCTCAATTTTAGAGGGCTACTCTTGTACTGTTTTCCTATTAGCCATTAGGTTGTACACTAAGTTTTAACCCAGAAAATAACATAATATTGTTCTTCATAAGATTATACTTGATGGGGGACAGAGGGATAATAATGGACTTTGAGACATTAAAGTTATAAACATTTTGTGATGCAACATTTATAAGTACACACATCAATTTCCAATTTTATAAGAGATACATTTTTCTTGAAGACTTTAAAATTTGTTTTGGGTTCTCAATATCTTTTGGATTTCATGACATTTCTGATTTAATTGCCTTTTTTCTTCAAAAGAGCTATTATTTCATTTTTAATGTCTGTGGCGAAAATATATTTCATCTAGCATTTTTTTTATGTATGATGCCAATATATTTGTTGAGATTATATTTATGCCCCATCAAACTTTATTAGACATTTCAATTATCAAAGTAGGCCTTCAGAATTAACAAAACTAATTTTAAGGTAACAGGTTAACCAATCCAATTAATAAGTTCTTTATAGGAAAAGGCTAAGCCAATAAAAATATTTTTTAGGTTATACTTTTATTGTGAAGCATTTTTCCAGGAAGACAATATGTAATAACTATATTTATTGTTATATAAATCTGTTGTTTATGGGCCCCTACCGGGAAGTACAGTATAAGATTAATTTGATAATTTCTGTGAAATATTTCCCCATTTAATGAAGATGAGATAATGCATTCAAATAAATAAAAATTGAAATAACAGTAATGAATATTTATACGGCATGCTGTAGTTGACAAGCACATGATACCATGCTGTGAGATAGGTGGGAGAGATGATTAGAGAGATTGAAGGGACTTTCTTGAAGTCATGTGACTCATGAGCAGTAAAAAAATCCAGTGAAGACAGCGAGTTTTTCTCTGTATATGCTCCTCTGGAAGATTGTTTTGTCTATTCTTCTCTATGATTGCCTATGAAATTAACAAATCTTAGACCTTGTGTTATTTCTTGTAGCAAGACTACCCATATCTTTGTTTGTTTACTTACTTTTTATTTTGAAATAATTTTAGACTCAGAAATTGCAAAAATAGTACAGAGTTTCATGTATCCTTTTTTGGTAGCATCTATGCTATAAAATATTAACTCTTTAATGCTATTGATATATACTAAATATAAAATATTACCATTTAGAT